TTGCAATCTTCAACATTACACATGCAATCAGTATTATTTTCTAATTCTAACTTTTCTTCATCAATTATTTTCTTTTCAAGAATAATGATCTTGTTTTCTAGTAACCTATTCATGCTTTTCAATTTTCTCGTTTTCAGTTTCTAATTTCTTTGCTACTTCATGTATTTCAAAGAAAGCATCTTGTAATGAGCTATAGTTTATAGATTCGTAACTTACACCGGTTTTTGATGATTCCGAGTTGACCATCAAGCATATTTCTGGTGCTTCTTCATAGGTCTTTTCAAGGATCTTCCACATTTGTGCAGCAGCTTGGCAGTGTGCAATCCTCGAAAAGATCATCTCTGTTAAGGGCGGATAAGATGATATTCTTGGCAATACAATCATCTTGGATTCTCGTTAGCAATATCAGCTTCCTGTTCAATAACATTCCAAGCATTTATACTAACAGATTCAATGAAGATTTTCATCCTTATTTTCCAATATAGGTAATCTGCTCCACTCAACAGCTGGAGGTCTATCAATGCACGCTCCTCGGAAAATGCCATGGATCGAAGTAACTTGATTAACTTTCAAGCACCTCGCTCCGATGCCAATTGTTAGAAAAGTAGTTTTAAATCAAGAGGGGGTGAATTGATTTTTGAAAGTTTTTCGCAATACACAGATTATCTAATTCGAAAATTAAGATTACTTATCAATTCACAAATCACAAAGCAATCAAACAGTTTAAGTGCAAGCAATAGAAATTAAAGAGAGAAAGGTTAGGAAAGATTTCACCGGTAATTTTATACTCGGTTCACCCAATACCAGGGCTACGTCCGCACTCCAACCAAATTCCAACTGGGTTCCACTAGAATAGATGTTTTACAGACTCACCCTCTTACACCTATTCTAACTCTCCACCAAGAACCAAATTCCAGCTCTTGGAAACCTCTCGCAACCAAATTCCAGCAGCAGAGAAACCAAGTGCCCAAATTCCAGTGCACCACACACAAGAACCAAATTCCAGCTCTTGCTTTAACCTTTCCACCAAGAACCAAATTCCAGTTCTTGGAAACTTCTACAACCTCTACACAACTGCAGTAAAACTTGTACCCAAATTCCAGGTACAAAACAAGACAAAAGAATGAATAGAAATTGAAAAGAAGAAACAAAGAAAGCTCAAACCGGATTACACCAATCCACAGTCAGTTTCTTCTTCAAAGAAATGCAAAGTGCCTCAAGAAAGATTTCAAAAGAAGTTCACAAAAACAGCTTGTGTATCTTTCTTGAAAAATGCTAATAGTTGTTTGTATTGATTGCTTGAATTGTGTCAAAACTGATATTCAATCTCTCGTTTAAAAGTTTCAAGCAATTCTCGTTTATAAAAGAGTATTTTCAAATCGCTGCATTAATTAATCTGTTGAAAGTTTGTTTTAATCTGTTGAAATAGCCGTTATAATCTGTTAAAAGTCCTTTCAACCCATTAATGCATTCTTGATCTTTAACAGAAAATGTTTTAGTTGATACAACCATGTTTATATCAGTTAAAACGTTTTACAAACATTTTCTAAGTATAAAACAATCGATTGAATCGCGTATTAATCGATTGATATGTTTAAAAACCTTCTTATAAAACTTTCCAAGTTATTTTAACTGATATAAAGTCGTTTCAATCGATTGAAAATCTGCACATATATTTTCAAGTCATTTTAATCGATTGAAAGTTCGTTTTAATCGATTGAAAAGATTTTCTAAGTTATTCTAATCGATTGAAATGCGTTTTAATCGATTGAAATAAGTCTGATCGGTCATAATTCAATTCTGATCGATCATAACCAACTCTGATCGGTCATAATCTCATTCTGATCGATCATACTGACATCCAAAGTGATTTTAATCGATTGAAACGTGTTTTAATCGATTAAAATAATTCTAATCGCTCATATTTAAGATCTGATCGATTATATTGCATTCTGACCTATTATATTCGAATTCTAATCGGTCATAAAGAGTTTTAATCGATTAAAAGAAGTTTGTATCGATTAAAATATTGTAAAAACACTTTTTAAAACATTCTAAGTGTTTTAAATTGATTCTTTCAAACCTTTATCAGTTAATAACTTGTTTAAGAAAATTCTTTGCCAAAATGCTTTTGTTTTTGATTTGTTTAAAACTATTTTTGAGGCATTTTGCAAAATGAATGAAGGAGCTTCATGCAGTGGAAAAGGTAAAGTGGTTTTACCTAAGCTTTCTGTTAAGACACACTAAGTCTTCAGCTCCATTTTTCTGAGTGACTTGTTTGACTGCTGCAGAGTTGACCCTTGACTTTATCTTTGACTTCATCAAATCAATGAGATCTTTGCTAGGATCACTTTCAATCTTGACCTTGTCAGACGAGACGGCCGTCTCGACCTGACAGACGCGAATCCCTATAAATAGTCGCGCCATTCCCCTTCATTTCAAACAGTTCTTCCATTCTATCTCTAGACAATTCTTCAAATTCTCTTTCTAGAACCCCTCTGAAGCATTTCCAGAGTTTCTGAGAGCTTTCTAGAGTGTTTTATAGCGTTTTCGAGAGATTCTGGTGCTGTAAAGAGTGAAGGGCTGCCAAAAAGCACCCCAATTTCAAAGAATTAATAGAAAGCTTGCTTCGGAGGTTTCTATACTCTCTCTCTCTACTTTACTGCTTTAATTTTAATTATGCAATATACATTATGGCCATGTAGTCATAATATTAAATTCTGCAAATAAAAGGGTAAAAACGTATTTTTCATCGGTTTATTTATTCAAAAGTAGTTGGCCTATCATAGGGAACCCGAAAGGGGCGTCGTAAGGGAACTAACACTTCCCTTACACGTAACTAACTCCCTTACCCAACTCTGGTTCTAATGACTAAAGTTGGTTTTTCGAAAATCAACGCCTTTTTACTCCTTCAAAAACTAGTTCTTGGTTAAGCCCTGTTATCGGACAATCCAAGAATGCCCTTTCGAAAACTCGCCCCTAGGTTCAGCCCGGTTATCGGACAACCTAAAGGCGTTGTAACCACACCAATAAAAACGCGAAAATTGGAAAGTCGGAACTATCGCGTCGCTCCAACTGCCTCGTTTTGACGGCGGCAACAGTGGAGATTAAAATAATCTAGGTATTTATTAAAGTGAGAGATCTAATCTAAATATAACACAAGAGGCTCTCCTTGATCCCAACCCTTCTTCAAAAATGATAAAGACAATATAAAGATTGAAGATCTTAAAGATTTGATGAAGTCAAATAAGTTATGGGTTAAGGATTGTAATGTTTATTGAGTCTGCATCAATATAGATAGGTATAATCATCTATCCATTTCTACAACATGAGGTTCTATCATTTGAAAGATATAAAAATGCCTCTAAACTTTTTAATCGGTTAATATGCTCTTAAGTCTCAAAATTAACTGATATGTTTATGAATTAATTGATTAAAATCAGCTAAAAACACTTCTGACATATTTTTAACTGATGTATTTTTGAAATAATTGATTAAAACCACTTAAAACATGTACTATCATCGTTTTATCCGAGACATCTTCAATTTAATCGATTAAAAGCACTAAAGAAAGTTTTAGAAAATGTTCTGCAGTTAATTAATCGATTAAAACTCGAATTAATCGATTAAAATCACTTAAAGAGTTTATGGTTATTATTTTAATCGATTAAATGAAGTTTTTATTAGTTAAAATCATTTAAGACGTTTTAAAAAATGTTCTACCAGTTAATTAATCAATTAAACTTTGAATTAATTGATTATAATCACTTAAGGAAATTTTGTTCAATTGTTTTAATTGATTAAATCAAGTTGTTATCAATTAAAATCATTTGAGAAGTTTTTGAAAATCTTCGTTAATATTTTAATCGATTAAAATACGAATTAATCGATTAAAATATCTAAAGGACTTTTTAATCGATTGTAATGTTTTAATTGATTAAAATATATTTGTATCAGCTTAAAATCTTTTTTGAAAAGTCTGTTGAACACTTTAATCAATTAAAAGATATTTTAATCGATTAAAACAGTTAGAATCAAGATTTTTAATCAATTAAAAGATGAATTAACTGATTAATTAAACGAGTTTGTTTGAAAAAGTCTCTATATATACAAATTTGATCAACGTCTGTCAAGACCCAATTTCGTCCTGTAGACATAAAATAATAAATAGATAACAACTTATAAAAAAAGGAAAAATATGAAAAAAAGGAAAAAAAAGATAAAAAAATGTTTTATTTTAAACACTTTAAATTATATATATATATATATATATATATATATATATATATATATATATATATATATATATATATATATATATATACGGAAAAATAAAAATATGAGAAAAAAAAAACAAAAATCTTTTATTATAAAAACAAAAAGAAAAGTTAAATAATAGCTTATATGAATTTCTCTAAAAAAGAGAGAGAAAAATGGGAGAAAAAAAAATTAAAATTTAAAGTATATTTTTTTCTTAAATAAAATGAAAAAAAAAGAGAAAAAAATAAAGATAAAAGTTAAAAATATAAAAATAAAAAATGAAAACATAATAATTTTCTTTAAGAAAAAAAGAAGAAGAAAAGGGTCATCTTTTGACCAACTCGTTTTTTTACCTGATGTTTAACTTTTGACCTAATTTCTAGCTTTAAAAATAGAATAATAATGAAGGAAGGAGGAGGGGAGGGACCAATACAAGAGAAGGTGAATTGAAAGACAGAGGTCACGATTAATCTCTCATTATCATGGTCTCGTTTTCCTCAATCTTGGTCTTGGTGCATTTTTTTTTTTACTTTTTCTGCCTTTTCTCTCATCTCCTTCGTCACGGCCCACCATCCTCACTGACCATTATTTTCACCTCATCACTCGCCCCTCGCTTAACCTGACCCTATGCCTCCAGACCTCACTCTCTGAATCCTGCCCTAGACTAGCTGTCACCAAGTACCCATCATCTTTATTCTACCACCATCCTCAGCATCAGCTACTGCCAACTGACCCGCGAGCTCCACCATTGAACCATCGCGCCTCCCTCACTCCCTCAGCTCCTTCCTCACTCACCAAACTCCCTCACTGACTGTCTTCGCAGCCTTTATCGTCGACCCTCACTCCTACGCCATGTTGTGTCATCACCGCAGTCCCGACGCTTGTCGTCTAGACCCTCCAACCCCAGTCACAGGCACTGTCTCCCTGGTCAGCATTATGGTCATCCCTAAACCCCAATCTAACCCCACCTTTAACCACTACAGTCGCCCCTCATTAGCCACCGCCATCTCCACTGCCAGCCCTAGCCCCTCAATTGTGCCACCGCGAACCATTCCGCAACAACCCCACAGAGCTACGCCCAGACGAGTGACCAGCACCGAGAGCCACACAACCGCCACCACTGCAGATCAGTCGTGCCGTCGTGAACCTCCAATCTCGGACTTCATTCTCACTACCTGTGTCGCGAATCGCAAACTCCATGGCCAGCCGCGAGCCACCACCTCTGAACGCCAACAAATCCTGACCATGCCCAGCCAACTACTGCGAGCCCTCCTCTTGGACTACCGTATCGAGCCTCTGCCTTCATCAGGCCACACTTACCTCACACGCGGTCTCCTCCATCGCCAGCTACTACACCACCGTGAGCACTCATGCCCTCCTTGTTATCGCAGTGCCGATCATGCCTCCTCCTAAATTCCTCTCATACTCAGTGTTTGTTCCTTTTTTATTTTGATCCTTTATGTCTTCATGTTAGTCCTTGATTGGTTCAATTCTGGATATATTGGTTGAATTTTGATTTGTTATTTTTTATTGTTGTCCCTAATATATGTGAAGTTGAGCACTGCAGGTTTAAATCTATTTTTTCCTGTTCCTCTGGGTTGAGATTGGTGTTGGTCACGCAGGGTGGTATGAGGGGTGTAGACTCATAATTTTTTCCGGCTTCAATAAAGACTAAGAAGACTTCTTATATGAAGATAAAACTTCGGTGGACGTCTATCGGCATCAATCGACTTCCGAATAAAGAAAGGAAAGCCTCCCGGGAGTCCCAGAACACAAAATCTGGCCAAAATAGTCAAGATGGTCGTCCCAGAAGTCGGGATGACCGTCCCAGCCAGCCCAGACGGCCGTCCCACATGTCAGACGGTCATCCCAGCCAGTTTTGCCACTTGGGACGACCGTCCCAAGTCCCAGACGGCCGTCCCGGCCTCCCCAGACGCCCATCCTTGTTTTCCAAGCCCCAGACGGTCGTCCCGAGCTGCCAGGCAGCGAAAACTATAAATAGGAAGCTCATTTGTCACTTTTTCACACTCCAGACACTTGTCTTCTCTCCCTACTTCGAATGAACTCTCCGATTCCCTAAAAAAGGTAACAATCGGTTAAGGAATATTATTCCAGCATTCGATTCTTCTTAACATTTTAGTAGAGTCGATCTTGTATTCGGGGAGGAGAGTCTTTGTAGAGCGGGGGATTGCCAAAACTCATCCTCATAGTTAAAAATTTGCAATACAAAGCTTGCTACGGAGGTTCTTTTCACTTCTCTTCTCCTTTATTGTTTTATTTATTACTTTACGTATGCAATAGAAAATAATATAATGTAGATAACCATATTTAAATATCATATAAATAAAATAGGGTAATAGTGTAATTTCTTGTAATCTTTACTTAATGAATTAATCCGTCATAGGGAACCCGAAAGGGGCCTTATGGGGTCCTAACACCTTTCTCACATGTAACTAACTCCCTTACCTAACTCTGGTTATAATGACCAAGTTTAGTTTTTATTAAAATCAACGACTTTTTATCCTTTTCCAATGTTTATGGTCAAAACATTGGTGACGACTCCATAAGAACCCTTTTGCGAAAACCTTGCTTTTATTAGATGATAGTTCAGTTGATGAGCACCTCGAAAGCAATGAACACATTTTAAAATAAAACGCGAGTCTAAACCATCTTTTCGCGACCGCTCGCATAAACGTTTGAGATGTTCTTAGACGTCGGAACAGACGGCGACGACAGATGGCGACTCCACAGGGGAAGCTAGAGAGTTGATCCCATTTAGTGGCGGATAAATTCAAACTAAGTAAAGATTTGAAATTACGCCTTTACCCTCCGTTGTATGTTTTATTGTATGGCTTTTATAATTGATGTATGATTATTTTCTGCAAATTGTCTGAAATATAAACTGCACACAAAAACTCTTGCACACTACAGTCCCTCTATACCCGGGGGCAAGAGTGAATACCTATAGGGAGTGGGTGGCAGATACGACCGGCTTGTTGGCACACGGGGCTACAACCGTTGTCAGAAACCACCAACTCAAGGTGATAACTCTCTTCTTTTGGTCCAAGGATGTCGACACGGAGTTCTGTGCATGACCCAAGGACTGAGAGATTGAGAGGCCCCTATAATGGGGGCACCTTGGGGACCTTTGGCCTTGGTGAGAACAGTTTAGAACTACCTAAACCAAACACGTTTCTGCAGGAAAACCCCACCTCGAAATTAACGTGACTCTGCTCGTGGATGAATGAATTGTGTATGCATTCATTTGCTGCATTTGTATTGATGCATTAACATAGGGTAATCATACAACAAATAAAAATAGTAAAAATCCTAAAAACCATAAAAGTGATAAGAATAAACCAACTTTATCTCGGACAGTCTTCAGTTAAGCTAGCCTGGTTTCAGGTTCTTTGTAAGCTAAGTAGCCACGTTGACCGACAGAAGAGATAAATGGTTATAAAAAACATAAAAATGATTAAAAGCCATAAAAAGGTCTTTTATAATAAAAAGATTCTTGACAAAAAGTCTTATGATTCATACAACATTTGTTCATAAAAATACTAGGAGAAGAAAAAATGAATCTCTTCATCAAAATCCATAAACATTCATATAGATAGTTTTCTTTTCAAGAAAAAACCAAGCACTATCATGTATCATATTAGGAATAAAACATGATAATACTTAGAAAAACAAACACTTGCATTCATGCATTTACAATGACTCATCCTTATATCATGCATTTTCATTTCTTTTAGATAATGGAGGGATCCAGTAATAGACAGTTAAAGAAAGTGGAAATCCTTCTATGCCGTGTAGAGAAGTTAAGGCAGTTGTGTACATATATGTCGCCGGAGGTCAGTGCTAATTTTGAGAAATCTTATGGAAGGATTCTTGACCTCCTGAAAATCAGCATCGATCCTATCTTTGTTAGAGCATTGGTCCATTTATGGAATCCCGACCTGCACTGCTTTGAGTTTTCGCAGTTTGATTTAGTACCAACCTTAGAAGAATATGAACTCATGGTTAGATGGTCTCAGTCAGTCGGGATCTATGTCTTCTCAAGAGTATATGTTGCTGTGAGTAAGGTTGCTACTATCATACCATTGCCTCCTCACCAATCCATCCTAGAGGGAAAAGGGAACATCCGAGGTTGGAAAATGTCAATAATAGAAGACCACTTAATCTCTTTGGCTGAAAAGAAAGATTGGTCAACCTTCAACAAAACTCTAGTATTGGCAATGTTCGGAATCATATTATTCCCATTTCATGTGAACGTTGTGGATCATGCTGCAATAGATGCATTCTTTGCCTGGGAACATCCGACGTTGGAAAATGTCAATAATAGAAGACCACTTAATCTCTTTGGCTGAAAAGAAAGATTGGTCAACCTTCAACAAAACTTTAGCATTGGCAATGTTCGGAATCATATTATTCCCATTTCATGTGAACGTTGTGGATCATGCTGCAATAGATCCATTCTTTGCCTGGGATGTATACTCTAAGAGTCCTATGAAAGTGATGAAGATCTTATTGAATTACTTTGACAAAGATCTTGTTAATTTGATGAAGACAAAAATGAAGTCAAAGGCAACTTTGTGGCAGTCAAAAGTCACTTAGATAAAAGAGTAGAGGGATTAGTGTGTCTGCCGCTCTGCTTAGGTATAATCATTTTATCTTTCTACTGCATGAGGTTTCTTCATTTAAAGGATTTTGCATATGCCTCTAAAAAATGGTTAAATGGTTAAAAACAAAGTATTTTGATAAAAGTTTTCTTAACCAACTATTTTAACCAATAGCATATAAACTTTATCAACGAAAATGTTCTTAACACTTTTGTAATAGGTTTTTAACTGATATAATTTCAAAATAACCGATTGTTTTCATTAAAGGAAGTTTTGAAAACCTTCTGTCAGTATTTTAACTGATACAGTTTCGAAATAACCAATTAAAATCACTTAAAATGTTCAGAGAAGTGTTCTGGCAGTATTTTAATCAATATAACTTCGAAATAATCGATTAAAACCACTTGGAGTACTGTTTGATCGATCAGAATGAGCATATGACCGATCAGAACCAGTTATGATCGATCAGAATTGAGTTATGACCGATCAGAATTATTTTAATCGATTAAATTGTGTTTCAATCGATTAAAAGAACTTAAGAGAATTTCTACACAGCGTTTTAATCGATTAAAACATATTTTTATCAATTAAAATCATTTAGAAAAGTGTATAAGAATGTTTTGCAGTATTTTAATCGATTGAAAGTCGAAACAATCGATTAAAACAGATTGGAAGATTTTTTACAAAGGGTTTTAATTGATATAAATGTTGTCGTATCAGTTAAAACAAATCTGAAAAATAATCAAGAACGTTTTAATAGATTAAAAGAAGATTTAACAGATTAAAACAAGACTTTTAACAGATTAAAAGATTATTTTAACAGATTAATTAAACCAGCAGTTTTGAAAATCTTTTATATAAACAGAGTTGCTTGAACTTTTTTAAACACATCTTTTACACATCTTTTAACAATCAATCAAGCAATCAAAAGTGCTACTTTCAAGAGAGAATCAAACTAGTTTTTGTGAAGATCATTAAAGTTCTTTCTTGAGGAAAATTGCATTCTTTTGGAGAAGAAACATATACTACAGAACTGCATAAAACTGGTTTGAGCGTTCTAAGTTTCTTCTACTTGTTTCTTTACTTTCTTTTGTTGTATTGTGGATGCCTGGAATTATGGGCACTGGTTTCTGTAGCTGGAATTTGGCTGCAGGGGTTGGTCAAAGAACTAGAATTTGGTTCTTGGTGAAAGGTTAGGTGCAGGAACTAGAATTGTGGTTCTTGTGGTAGATTGAGTGTGAGATTAAGGTTGTAATTTGTAAAACATTCAATCTAGTGGAACCCAGCTAGAATTTGGCTGGAGACTGGACGTAGCCCTGGGATTGGGTGAACCAGTATAAACCTTGGTGATATATTTCTAAACCTTTCTCTTCTTTAATTCTGTGACTGCATTTATTTTTGATTGCTTGCTGTGTAATTCAAGAATTGGTCAGATTTCTTAATCTTTGAAATAGATAATCTGTTAATTGCGAAAAACTTTCAAAGATCAATTCACCCCCCCTCTTGATCTCAGCCTACATTTCTAACATCCTATACCTGCAATTCTTGCTGATACCCCGCTTTCAGTAGATTTTTGCCGACAGAAACAGGGGAAAACACTTAGATGTTGTATTTTATTACTATATGTATGGGGCATTACTCACTTTTACGCTTCAAGCTACATGGGCGTATTCCCTAATCCTTTAAGAAGTTTTGCAAAAATCCCTCTTCAGCATCATCAAGCTTTAGAATGGAAAACCGAGTTAGAAAACTGGAAAATAGAGCACGTATCATGGGTTTGCCCTTGGTTCT